GGTAATTAGCTCTTGAATATGATTACTGATTTACTGTTATGATACTTCTGTCATGCGCCTTATATGCCAGAAACTACGGTAACCTAAGTATACTTATAAGAGGTGGTATACTAGCCTGTAGAGGCTTCATCACTAAATTAGTCTTATAATTAATAGTTGATAGAAGAAATGTGACAACGTCAAGCATAGGCATATGTGTCATTTTACAGCCTTCCACCAAACTCTGACACCTCCAAACCACCCTCCTATGTCTGAGAATGGCAGGAAAACAGTATCCTGATTTTTTATTTCTCACAAAGGGTGGACTGGCACAGAAAATTTTCATTATATATACCAAATAAAGACTTGACAAGCTGTTGGAGTGTGAGCAGGGTAATATTTTGTGAAGGGATTCGGGGACACTGGTTAGCCGGACTTTAGTCCTGGAGGTGGGAAATACAATACCTGCACTTTAAAAGAGTGGTGTGGGATATTTGTTGTTTGGAGTGACATCTGAACTGTCAAATCTGTGTGTTTCTGCAAAGAGTGATTGTGTGAATGATGGTGAAAGTGTTTCTTTTTTGGGTCATCCTACCTCGGTGGGAGATGGCCGGCATATTGAAAGAAAAAAAGCTCTTAAGGGGAATTTTCCCTTTCCTCAAAAATGTAAATGAAGAGTAGAGTAGTTAGCATTGTGTAGGATTACATCCTCAGTCAATATATCACTGTAAAAGACATTAAGATGTGTAATTGCAGAGTAATAAATTATACTGTACACTGTATGGTGAATAAAGTACATGTACTGGGTTAGGCTAGAAATGCACATATTTATTTTCTCTTGTAGCTGTTTCTATATACCAATAGGAATTTTATTTAATTTAATCATCCTATAATAAAGAAATTGCATATTCATTATATAATAGCATAGTAAAGTAAGGAATGCAGTAATTTCTTTTTTCATAAATATTTTGCAGTGGTGGCACCCTCGTGATGTCATCTGTCACCCTCTCTTTCTCATCTTAACATTCTTTCTTTGCTGTTTTTTCATTGTCAGTCACCAGCATGTACAACAATTTAGGACTGAGTCTTGAGTAGACATCACAGAAGAAGGCACAGAAATGTGTATTGTACTTAGAGCATATTATATGATTGATGCATTGGTGGATGTTACTCCATGTCATATCAGTAAAAAGCACGTGTTTTCACTTCCACTGCAATATCACCCAACATTTTTATTGTCTTTTCACATTATTTTTGTTCTTTATTATATTTTTATATCACTGGCATGCATAAAAATTGTAGAATTACAACACACGTCAACCAATCATAAGGCATGGAATGAATAATCACAATGCACTATAGCATAATGTATCATGCACTGAATGTTACAGTAATGCACAATATTCCTTCTTGTAATTGTTGTGATACAGGTATTTTATATAATTCAAGTATATATGGGACCGAAAAAATTGTGGGACTTGCATATTCATTGTAAAATTTTGTATGAAAGCAAGGAACACCTCAATTTTTTAATGAATGTTGCAGTCTCATGGTGGCCTCTTGTCATTTTCAAACGCCATCCTTCACCACAAATCTTTCTTTGGTATTTTTCTCATCAGTCACCAGCATTCACAAACAATGGTAATTTACATCACAGGTCTAAACAGCACTTATCTGTGTGATTTACACGTACATTAATATTGAACTATGCAAAGTTTGCTTGCAATCTTTTGTCAGCACTTGTGGCTACCCACTCTAACAGTGAACTGGTATGTGTCAAGGGTTGTCTTCTGGAGATAATTTGTGTTAACCCTTTTAGGGTCCGTGCGTAGATCTACACCATGAGCTCAGCTCACTCTGATAAGCTGTGAGTGGTAAATTTGGGCCTAGATATGAGAGAATACATCTATGTGGTATGTGTGCACCATATAAAACAAATCCTGCAGCACACAGCGTATAATGAGAGAAAAAACTGAGACCATGATTTTCGATTAAAACAGCGACTTTGCAGTGTTTTTTCGTATGTTTTTTATAGTTGTATTTGCGATTTCTTGGTCTCATTTGATAGAATGGAAGATATATTATAGAAGTAGAGATGATTTTGATTGGTTTTCATACTGGAAATGGCTTGAAAATGAGCTCAGAGTAGTGGAAATGTTAAATTTTTGTCGATGTTCAAGAGTAAACAAACGACCTCACATGTCTAATACACGCCAGCTGGTGGGTCTAATATACATTCACAAATGTGATGATGATATTTATACAATTATTACAATATTGCATAACAGTAAATCTTCTATTTTTTGGTTTGAATAAAAATTCATTATGTGAATAAAAAATCAAAATGGAATTCATTTGTAAAGCCTGAAAACATAACTAATGAGCAGAGAAAATGTTAGTTTAGTGCCAGGAATGCCTGCATTGTTTATTCTGGACCCTATTTTGAAATTGGAATATTTTGAACTTTGTGTTAAATTGGCCAAATTACCAATTTCCGATCACTTTATTTTGTAGTTGAAACAGTTAACTGGGTGATTTCTTGTGCTCAATCGATAGAATAGAAGTAATACAAGTGAAATAGCTAAGAATTTGGTCGACTGGAATAATGTAATTGGCATAAAATGGGAGTCAAAGTCGGCAAAATCGCCGATTCGTAAATATCGCTGACACATCAGAATTCGTGAGAGCATAATTTCGTCAATTTTCCATCAAATTTCGTACTTTTTGTTTTATTACCTTCAGAAAAAGATTCTCTGCCATTTCACAAGAAAAAATAAAAATTTTTTTTTTTTTAATTCTTGGACACTGGTGCACCCTTTGAAATTTGGCCTTCTGGACCCTGAAAGGGTTAAACTTGTTCAAGTTGTTAAACTTGTAGTGTTTAGCTTCCCATAGTGAAATTCTTTCTTAATAATTATTAAGATAAAGAGACATGACTGTTATACATTTGGCTAATGTTTCAAAGTGATTTTTGCCTTTGAAATAGTATGAAAGTCAAGTTAAAATTGTACTTTATTTCAAATTTGCACCTTATTGTGATATGGAGTCCATCTCTGACAAAGTTGACGGTTGTATGGATTTATTTCTCTCGTGCATGAAAACAGTGTATTTATTTGCCACATGGTTAACAAGTCCCTGGTGTGTACTCATTATTTACTGTGAAGCAAAATGCTTTAATAAATAATGTGCTTGATGTAATTTATAGAGAATATTGTTAAACAAATTATGGGTGTTACTTGATGCATTAGAATGTGTTGAGAGTATATTAATGGACTCAGTGCAGTTACTGAATGTGGCTCATAGTTTAAGAATGATTGGACAGCAATATTTATTCCTTGGCATATAGCATCTTTTGTTAATTATATTAGCCTTTTAACCGTATCAACTTCTTGGTTCCAGTTATTAGCAGATTTGTTATGTAACAAAATTTTTTGATAGCTTGCCTCTGTCAGTACAGTTATTGTAAAAGGCATTAATAAGATGAATTTGACACACATCTTAACTAAAGAATTACCATATCACATAATAAAATAAAGTGATACTGGCCATAATTTTCTACTTAGGATATTTCCACAACAAAAATGTAAAGTACATGTATTAATGCATGAGTATTACAAACATAATCATATTTTATTTCCATCAATATGTACCCCTAAGGATGTGATGTGTTGTCATGTGTTGTATTACATATATGAAACATATAAATATATATATATATATTTACAAAGTGTTTTATCTGCAAGTGGTGAAATACTAAGTACACACTAATGATGTGATATCTTCTTATTTTTTCCTTGCCAAGTCTTTCCTTTACCAGGGTAATAAGCAAGGTAAAACACACGGCTCACCATCAATGTTTGCCAATATTTCCAAGTGACTAAGCATTCAATTACCGTCAGAATTTTAGTATCGACAAAGACAGACAGTTTGGTCCACCAGTGTTGTGCTCAGGTTATTGTGGAGGCAAAAATCATTATTCCTATATTTAGAATTGTATTAATTATTTATTGTTAAATTAATCATAAAGGTAATTTAAACAAAATATACCAATTCTTTAAATATAATGCTGATAATAATCATAATGTTATGATACCCTCAGTGAAGAACATATATTTATTTTTCCATTCACTGTGCTCATAAAACATCTTAATTTGTAATTACAAAGTGGTGAAATAAGTTCATGTTTGAAGTCATTCACAATAACCAAGCAGTGTCAGTCATTGAATGCAGTTACATAAGCAGGGTAATTGCACAGTGTATAAGTCCCCTATGGTGATGGTAAGTTCAGTGGCTTGACCTCCTCTGCATGACTTGGCAGATGGACAGAGTGGTACCACCTTGGTTGTCTTCTATTATAGTCAGTTTTTCTTTAATTTTCTTTTACTTGAGCATTGAACAATTCAAATTTAATTCATCCCAGAAACACATTACCTCTCTGTCCATGAGTTGATTTTAGTTATGTCTTATGTTTTAGACTTCTCTTTTATACTCCTTAAGTATAGCATGATTCTATGAAGAGACCTTGCTTCCATATAGTGTTGAGTTTTGACTATTATAATATTTTGTGAAAACAATTCTTAAGATACTTTCCAAGTAGTATATTTCTTGGATAAATGTAACAGTTTTTTACCAATGAAGTATTGAAGCAAGTATGTATTTTGTGATTATTTTTATTTTTTATTTTATAGAATCATGTCTATTTTTGGGTTTGTTTTAAAGATAGAATTAGGATCATTATTAGATCAACATCTAATCTGAGAGTCCTGTACTATTGATCTTTTTCTTTCACAGTGGCATTCCATGAGCTTCACATCAGTGCAAAAACAAAAGTAACATTGTGTAGGGTCACTCATTACTGTTGTCTGTGTAAAAGTGTGTGTCTGCAGAGTGCACATGTGTGTACCTGAGTGTGCATGTTTGCTTGTTCTTGATTGTTTGGTTACTATTCACTAAAGGTGAGTATGAAACATAGAATTTATATTTTGTTTTCCTTTAATAATATGTAACATATCACATTACAGGAGCGAGTCACCAAAACGTAAGAAGCGAGATAAGAAGAAGAAAAGAGAAAAATCTAAGAGGCGACATCGCTCCTCTTCTACCTCCTCTTCATCGTCTTCATCTTCATCGTCATCTTCATCTGGCTCAGATTCAGATAGGCAAGTATATATTTTGAATTCATTAAAATAGAGTGTAATATCTGATGAGTTCCTGTAATACCATCTATGTATTCCTTCTACAGATGAAAAGAGTTATGAGGTATTGCTAAGTTTCAGTAAACTCTTCAACACCACACCACGAACATCAAAATGGTATACAATACCGACAGGTTGTTAGGTAAGACACATATGCAACAGTTAGACAACTTTATTCCGAAACGTTTCGCCTACACAGTAGGCTTCTTCAGTCGAATACAGAAAGTAGGCAGGAACAGTAGAGATGTGAAGACGATGGGTGATGGACTGATTACATCGTCTTCACATCTCTACTGTTCCTGCCTACTTTCTGTATTCGACTGAAGAAGCCTACTGTGTAGGCGAAACGTTTCGGAATAAAGTTGTCTAACTGTTGCATATGTGTCTTACCTAACAACACCACACCACATTTTTCAACTTTCTGCTTTGTCATAATGTCTTTATATTATTTATTATTTTCCATTTAATAATCACATATTTCTTTCATATGTCAAGGTTGAAAGGCATTTAATGTTTCACAATCCATGATGACATTTAATGCTTTCATATTTCCTCCAAGGAATATTACCACCTTTCTACTTAACATTATTCTTTGATTAATACCTTATTTTTTTATGATATTCATATACATACAGTGTTTAGAACACATTCCATATCTGCCCACTTGCTTCTCTTTATACTCTCTTTCCTGACTCACATTTTCATGTATGAATTTACTTTACTACCCATTCATTATATCCATACCATTATGGTACACACTTTACAATCTTATAAGTTATAGTCTTCCCAAAACATCATGCCTTATTTTGCTTATCCTTCTAACATGAAGCATATTCCTCAGATTGTTTGTTTATACATCTTTATCTCTATATGTTTTTCACTTTTGAACCTCTGATGTTTAATGAATATATTAAGTGAAACATTTGCTCCTTCACACACTCATCTATATGCATCCTTTTCTTTTCTTCATTTTCAACATTTCACAAATTCCTGTACAGTACTCTATATAATAATCACATACCTCAGTATTTCAACTCAGTAGATTGCATTATGTTTCTGTTTACCCTGGATGATCACTGAAACAAACAGTTTAGTCTGTTATTTATCGTACTGTATTATAAAGAGAGTTTTTATGAGGATAGTAAAACTCAGATTAGGGTATGTAGGAGAGAGGAAAATTTTCTTCTAGTAAAAGTAGGCCTTAGACAGTGATGCATGATGTCACCATGGTTGTTTAACATATTTATAGATAGGGTTGTAAAAAAGGTGAATGCTTGGGTGTTGGGGAGAGGTGTGGGATCAAAATATGCAGAATTTAATACAAAATGGGAATTGTAACAGTTATTTTATGTTGATGATACTGTGCTTTTGGGAGATTCTGAAGAGAAGTTGCAAAGGTTAGTGGACAAATTTAGGAAATTATGTAAAGGCAGGAAATTAAAAATGAACATATGAAAGGGCAAGGTGATGAGGGTAACAAACACGTTAGGTAATGAAAGATTGGATATCAGATTGAAAGGAGGGAGTATGGAGAAATAAATGTGTTCAGATATTTGAGAGTGGATTTGTTGGAAGATGAGTATTATATAGATGTGGTGAACTATAGAATTTTTTTTTTTTTTCAACAAGTCGGCCGTCTCCCACCGAGGCAGGGTGACCCAAAAAAGAAAGAAAACCCCCAAAAAGAAAATACTTTCATCATCATTCAACACTTTCACCACACTCGCACATTATCACTGTTTTTGCAGAGGTGCTCAGAATACAACAGTTTAGAAGCATACACATATAAAGATACACAACATATCCCTCCAAACTGCCAATATCCCAAACCCCTCCTTTAAAGTGCAGGCATTGTACTTCCCATTTCCAGGACTCAAGTCCGACTATATGAAAATAACCGGTTTCCCTGAATCCCTTCACTAAATATTACCCTGCTCACACTCCAACAGATCGTCAGGTCCCAAGTACCATTCGTCTCCATTCACTCCTATCTAACACGCTCACGCACGCTTGCTGGAAGTCCAAGCCCCTTGCCCACAAAACCTCCTTTACCCCCCTCTCTCCAACCCTTTCGAGGACCACCCCTACCCCGCCTTCCTTTCCCTATAGATTTATATGCTTTCCATGTCATTCTACTTTGATCCATTCTCTCCAAATGACCAAACCACCTCAACAACCCCTCTTCTGCCCTCTGACTAATACTTTTATTAACTCCACACCTTTTCCTAATTTCCACACTCCGAATTTTCTGCATAATATTTACACCACACATTGCCCTTAAACAGGACATCTCCATTGCCTCCAACCGTCTCCTCGCTGCTGCATTTACCACCCAAGCTTCACACCCATGTAAGAGTGTTGGTACTACTATACTTTCATACATTCCCTTGTTTGCCTCCATAGATAACGTTTTTTGACTCCACATATACCTCAACACACCACTCACCCTTTTCCCTCATCAATTCTATGATTAACCTCATCCTTCATAAATCCATCTGCTGACACATCAACTCCCAAGTATCTGAAAACATTCACTTCTTCCATACTACTCCTCCCCAATTTGATATCCAATTTTTCTTTATCTAAATCATTTGACACCCTCATCACCTTACTCTTTTATATGTTCACTTTCAACTTTCTACCTTTACACACATTCCCAAACTCATCCACTAACCTTTGCAATTTTTCTTTAGAATCTCCCATAAGCACAGTATCATCAGCAAAAAGTAACTGTGTCAATTCCCATTTTGAATTTGATTCCCCAAAATTTAATCCCACCCTCTCCCGAACACCCTAGCATTTACTTCCTTTACAACCCCATCTATAAATATATTTAACAACCATGGTGACATTACACATCCCTGTCTAAGACCTACTTTTACCGGGAAGTAGTCTCCCTCTCTTCTTCACACCCTAACCTGAGCCTCACTATCCTCATAAAAACTCTTTACAGCATTTAATAACTTACCACCTATTCCATATACTTGCAACATCTGCCACATTGCTCCTCTATCCACTCTATCATATGCCTTTTCTAAATCCATAAATGCAATAAAAACTTCCCTACCTTTATCTAAATACTGTTCACATATATGCTTCAATGAAACACTTGATCTACACATCCCCTACCCACTCTGAAACCTCCTTACTCATCCGCAATCCTACATTCTGTCTTACCTCTAATTCTTTCAGTTATAACCCTACCGTACACTTTTCCTGGTATACTCAGTAAACTTATTCCTCTATAATTTTTACAGTCTCTTTTGTCCCCTTTCCCTTTATATAAAGGGACTATACATGCTCTCCGCCAATCCCTAGGTACCTTCCCTTCTTTCATACATTTATTAAACAAAAGTACCAACCACTCCAACACTATATCGCCCCCTGCTTTTAACATTTCTGTCATGATCCCATCAGTTCCAGCTGCTTTACCCCCTTTCATTTTATGTAATGCCTCACGTACCTCCCCCACACTTACATTCTGCTCTTCTTCACTCCTAAAAGATGGTATACCTCCCTGACCAGTGCATGAAATTACTGCCTCTGTTTCTTCCTTAACATTTAAAAGTTCCTCAAAATATTCTCGCCATCTACCCAATACCTCCATCTCCCCATCTACTAACTCCCCTACTCTGTTTTTAACTGACAAATCCATACTTTCCCTAGGCTTTCTTAACTTGTTTAACTCACTCCAAAATTTTTTCTTATTTTCATTAAAATTTCTTGACAGTGCCTTTCCCACTCTATCATCTGCTCTCCTTTTGCACTCTCTTTACCTTTCTTTTACTCTCCATATACTCTGCTCTTCTTATAACACTTCTGCTTTGTAAAAACCTCTCATAAGCTACCTTTTTCTCTTTTATCACACCCTTTACTTCATCATTCCACCAATCACTCCTCTTTCCTCCTCCCCCCACCCTCCTATAACCACAAACTTCTGCCCCACATTCTAATACTGCATTTTTAAAACTATTCCAACCCTCTTCAACCCCCCCCACTACTCTTCTTTGCACTAGCCCACCTTTCTGCCAATAGTCGCTTATATCTCGCCCGAACTTCCTCCTCCCTTAGTTTATACACTTTCACCTCCCTCTTACTTGTTGTTGCCACCTTCCTCTTTTCCCATCTACCTCTTACTCTAACTGTAGCTACAACTAAATAATGATCCGATATATCAGTTGCCCCTCTATAAACATGCACATCCTGGAGCCTACCCATCAACCTTATATCCACCAATACATAATCTAATAAACTACTTTCATTACGTGCTACATCATACCTTGTATATTTACTTATCCTCTTTTTCATAAAATATGTATTACGTATTACCAAATCTCTTTCTACACATAGCTCAATTAAAAGCTCCCCATTTACATTTACCCCTGGCACCCCAAATTTACCTACTACTCCCTCCATAACATTTTTACCCACTTTAGCATTGAAATCCCCAACCACCATTACTCTCACACTTGATTCAAAACTCCCCACACATTCACTCAACATTTCCCAAAATCTCCCTCTCTCCTCTACACTTCTCTCTTCTCCAGGTGCATACATGCTTATTATAACCCACTTTTCACATCCAATCTTTATTTTACTCCACATAATCCTTGAATTAATACATTTATAGTCCCTCTTTTCCTGCCATAGCTTATCCTTCAACATTATTGCTACTCCTTCTTTAGCTCTAACTCTATTTGAAACCCCTGACCTAATCCCATTTATTCCTCTCCACTGAAACTCTCCCAACCCCTTCAGCTTTGTTTCACGTAAAGCCAGGACATCCAGCTTCTTCTTATTCATAACATCCACAATCATCTCTTTCTTATCATCTGCACAACATCCACGCACATTCAGACTTCCCACTTTGACAATTTTCTTCTTCTTATTCTTTTTAGTAATCTTCACTAAATATTACCCTGCTCACACTCCAACAGATTGTCAGGTCCCAAGTACCATTCATCTCCATTCACTCCTATCTAACATGCTCATGCACGCTTGCTGGAAATCCAAGCCCCTTGCCCACAAAACCTCCTTTACCCCCTCTCTCCAACCCTTTCGAGGACGACCCCTACCCCGCCTTCCTTCCCCTATAGATTTATATGCTTTCCATGCCATTCTACTTTGATCCATTCTCTCTAAATGACCAAACCACCTCAACATCCCCTCTTCTGCCCTCTGACTAATACTTTTATTAACTCCACACCTTTTCCTAATTTCCACACTCCTAATTTTCTGCATAATATTTACACCACACATTGCCCTTAAACAGGACATCTCCACTGCTTCCAACCGTCTCCTCGCTGCTGCATTTAGAATTAGAATTTAGAATTGATTAGATAAAAAAAAGCTGGGTGGTGCATTGAGGCTTCTGTGGAGATAAGATAAGTTATCCATGGTGGTACAAACACTTGTATGGGTGAGGCACGGTTTGTGAATGTTGCAGCAAGGAGGAGGCTGGAAGCAGTGGAGATGTCATGTCTAAGGACAATGTGTGGTGTAAATATTGTGCAGAGAATTTGTACCTTGGAGATTAGGAGGAGGCGAGTGGTTACTAAAAGTATTATCCAGAGGGCTGAGGAGGGATTGTTGAGATGGTTTGGACATTTAGAGAGGATGGAGGAAAATAGGATGACTTGGGGGGGGGGGGGGTTATAAATTTGTAGTGAAGGGAAGGTGGGGTAGGGGTCACCCTAGAAAAGGTTGGGGGTGGGGGGATAAAAGAGGTTGTGTGCTAGGGGCTCGGGCATCCAGCAGGTGTGTGTGTGAATATGTTAGTTAGAAGTGAGTGGAGGCAAATAATTTTTGGGACTTGATGAGCTGGAACGTGAGCAAGGTAACATTTTGTGAAGGGATTCCGGAAAACCAGTTAGCCAGAATTGAGTTCTGGAGGTGGGAAGTACAGTGTCTGCACTCTGAAGAAGAGGTGGGTATATTTGCAATTTGTAGAAGCATCTGAACCGTAGTATCAGCAGTCATCGGCAAGATAGTGCTAGAGTGAACGATGATTGAAGTGTTTCTTCTTTTTTAGATTACCCTACCTTGATGATGGTAAAGAACTCTTGATCCTAGGAATCAGACCTGCCTTTCGCTTGGATTGCACCCAAATACCTCCCATTTCCTTAGGTACTGTATGACCCCAGCAGGTTTAGCACTCCCCCAAAATAATAATTGCAATATTCTTACAGTGTTGTGAGGAGCAAATCTAGCAAACGTCGACGTTCACGAAGCCCAGCAGCTCAGCGAGACACATCAGAATCTCGCCGTAAGGTACGTTATCCAGTAATTACTTTTTTAAACTGTAGGATTACTAATAGATAGTGTCATGTGAACAACGAGGAATTTGGGATGGATATGAGAGATAGCATAAAGTTTGATAAAATGGCTTGGCCTACAATGTTTTAAGTTTGGTAGTACAAAATATCTTCTGGGGTCTTGGAACTGTTCCATATTCTTCCTCTCAGCAAAGCATTTGGGCTTCTCCTTGATATCTTAGCAAGTCTGAAAGATCTAGCAATATGAACATTTTTAATAGACAATCCACGAGAAAAAGGATTTTTTAATATTCTCACATTGAAAAATGTATCCACATACTGTATCTTCAAATTATAACAGCATGAAGCTTTTGAGCTACTGAATACTGTGTTATCTATGTTAGGCTTTTTTCCTGGGATTATCAAAATTGTATGGCATGAAATTCATGCTTTTGTTAACGATTAAACAAGTTTATATCAAATTAAGCCTTTGATTAGCATTTTTAAAATAAAACTAAACATGTGCAATATGTTGTACTTGTGCATTGTTTCAGTGACAAACTTGCAGCAGTGAGAGTGATCTACTCTTAGAAATGAAACTAGCATGGTAAAGTTACTTATTTACGAATTATCAAGTAAAGTAAACTTATAAAAGCATAGCAACAGGAAAAAAGTGTTGCTTAGTAATAGGAAAAAAGTTGTTACTGAAAATATAAAGAACTTAAGTTTTATTATTATTATTATTAATTATTATTATTATTATTATTTTATTATGTATTCTCTTTAAGCTCCATTTAGAAATGTATATTACTCTTGTATAGTATTAGTATAAATTGATAGCCTATTAAACATTTTGCACTCTGGTAGGATTGCTAGTTTTTTTTTTATCTCATGAACATGTATGATGGCAAGTAAAACTTATAAATTTCTACTTATATTTAGTATACACTTTATATCCATGTTTCTAATACAGTGGAACCCCGGATTTCGGCCGTAATCCATTCCAGAAAGTCGGCCTAAATCTTAAAAGGCCGAAAACCAAAGTAATATTTCCCATAAGAATTGATGTAAATGCAATTAATCCATTCCAGATGCCCAAAAATATTAACAAAAAATACATTTTTTAATCCTTAAATGGTCCAAACGTATATATACATTTTTTCAACATCTGAAAGTATGTAAAAAAATGTAGATCTTTTTTTTTGTTTTACATGTGAAAACGCGTAAAAAAAAACTTTTATCTACATTTTTTTTTTGTTATATTTGAAAATATGTTAAAAAAAGTAATTCTACTTTTGTAGCAATACGAATTTGAACGTCGATCTGCTTGGACCGTTTAAGGGTTAAAGATTAACTATAGTTTCACATACAGAAAACAATGAGAAATAAATATAAAGCACAAATTTTAATGATAAATGAACATTACCTACCTTTATTGAAGACTCTTGTTGGCGTATTGAAGGTGAGGACGGGAGAGGGAGTTGGGGTTATTGTTTGGAAGGGGAATCCCCCTCCATAAGGACTTCAGGTATCAAGGCCCTATCTGGGGTTATTTCCCTTCTTTGTCTTTTACTGGCACTAGGACCAGCTTGAGAGTCACTGCACCCCTGTCTTGCAAAAACAAAAAAAAAAAAACTGCCCAGAGAGGTCTGTTTCTGGTGTATCTTTAAGATTTGCCTGAAGTGGGACAAAGTTTTGTCACTGAATTCTATTGTGTTTCTCACTTTCTTTACCAAAGGGCTGGCACTAGGAACTTTCTTTGGGCCCATGGTGGCTTATTTTGCAGCTGCACTCAATAAACAACCACAAAAAAAAAATGGATTATAACGAAATGTTTGGATGAATGCACATTGTGTTGCTCACTCACCGAGAGACAGCCAGACTGACTCTCACATTCAGCAGAGTGGCAGGCTGACGCGTCCAATACGGCTGATTTGTGAGTTGCCGGCTGAAATCCAGGATAGAATTTTGGCCCAAAAAATGGCCAGAATTGTATTTGGCCAATATCCACACTGGCCGATATCCGGGGATCCACTGTAGATTTTGACATTATTTCCTTTTCACTTTATGAGAACCAGCCTGAGATCAAGCCATGTGGGCAGTGATTCTCCAAACCCTTAGCGGATATAGAATTTTATCATTACTATTATTATTATTATTATTATTATTATTATTGTTATTATTATTATTATTTTAGTTGTTTTTATAAGTCATTTTGCAGTTATTGGCTTAATAATTGTGCAGTAAATAAGATCAGTATTTACATCATTAATGTATATAAGTTAAGCTTTGTATTGGCAGCAATGTGTCATAACTCCCTCACATAAAAATCATGCCTCACACTCTGATCTTTGCCTCTATATTTTCTGTTGCAGTATAAGTTTTGTGGCATAAATTTTATGCCAACTTATTTGCTGTTAGCATCACAAGGTTGTTACTGCATATAACTGTGTTAAATATATGCTGAAAAATTATGGTAAATTTTAGAAATACTAAATTGTATATTTCACTTCCAAACAGTTAAAAGCTTAATGATTTTTGTATGTCATACAGTGAGGGTAAAGGATGTTGTAGTCATATGAGTGTAATTCATTGTACATTTGGCATGTCACTCATTGAAGGATAAACTAAAAAGTAGTGACATAATGTTAACAATACATCTTTCGTTCATACTCAGTCTTAACACAATACATCTTTCGTTCATACTCAAAATTTTATTATTCACTTATCTCGTGGATTGCCTGTTAATCAGTTATTAAGTTAAACATCTGTATTAAAGTGTCTCTAATAAGATTTTTCTATACTAGAATAAGTTGAAATATAACTCTTAATGAAGGTTTACTTACCAAAGCTATTAGTGGCTGTGAGGTAAGCCAACTTTTTTTTTCTACTCTGAATTCTCACATCAGTTGCCTTATCACCAAAAGTAATATTTTTGTTAAGTCCTATAACATGCTGTTTTCATTTATATGGCATATTTCAAACCGATTATATTCATTATAGAAGTGACTATGTTTTTTTACTTTTTATCAAAATGAATCATGAATTAAATATACATAAGTTACTTAAGTATGGCAGAAAAATAATAATTTTTATTCATCATGAGTGTAATCGAGTGATTGGTTAGTTGCCATGTTAGCGTAGCTGTGGTTAAACTGTTATTATTATTATCATACCATGCACCCTTGTAGGAGTGGGGCGCGCGAAGTAAGTATGGCAGCAAGTGGGTGCTGCGCTGGTGCTCTACTGTGGGGTGTGATTATGAAGGGGGGAAAGGCAATTGCTATAGGGGTGAAAGGGAGGGAAGGGGAAGTACAGTAGGGGGAAAGGGTTAAAATAACTGCAACCCAATTCACACAGGGTCACATCACTCCCATTCTTGCTTGAGAACCTTTTTATTTGTTAGTTTTGAAGCACTGTACTTGCATTAAATGTGTAAAGAAATGCAATGTGAATATATGTACAATAAATTATATATATATTTTTAATATGCTAGTCATCTCCCACTGAGGCACTTCCTCTGTACTCCATCCCTCCAGTCTGACAGCCAATTTTTCCTTGCCTAACTTGTTTGATATCCTTATCACCTTACTCTTTTCTATGTTCACTTTCAACTACCTTTACATATCCTCCCAAACTCATCCATTAACCTTTGCAACTTGTCTTCAGAATCTTCCAAAAGGACAATATCACCAGCAAAAAGTAACTCTGCTAATTCCCAATTTGTATTAGATTCTCACCCCTCCCCCCAACACTCTAGCATTTGCTCCTTTTACAACCCTATCTATAAATATGTTAAATAGTCGTGGTGACATCACGCATTGCAGTCTATGGCCTACTCTTTTTTTAACACACTAGTCGTCTCCCACCGAGGCAGAAACACTTTCACCATCATTTACACTATCACTCTTGCCAGAGGTGTGTACATATGACAGTTTAGATGTTCCTCTAAAAAGCAGATATTCCAAACCCCTCCTTTAGAGTGCAGTCACTGTACTTCCCACCTCCAGGACTCAAGTCCAGCTAACTGGTTTCCCTGAATATCCCTTTACACTCCAACAGCTTTTCAAATCCAAAAAACCATTTGTCTCTACTCCTGACATGCTCGCACATGCCTAGTGTATGTCCAATTCCCTTACACACAAAATTGCCTTAACCCTGGCCTGGTCAAGGACTGGGCTATGGGGGCATTGACCCCCAGAACACCCTCCAGGTAGACTCCCCTCCTTCCGTCCTTTCCTAGGATAACCCCTACCCTGCCTTCCCTCTATTCGAGATTCGTACACCCTCCAGGTCATCCTATTTTGCTCCATCCTCTTCAGGCCTCTGGCTAATACTTTAAGTAACTCTGCACCTCCTCCTAATCTTCAAACTACAGATTCTCTGCCTAATATTTGTGCAACACATTGCCCTCAGACACATCTCTACTGCCTCCAGGTTCCTCTTTACTGTAACATTCACAACCTATGCTTCACTCCCATATAAGAGTGTGGGTACCTTCATGCATTTCCTCTATGCATTTCCTCTTTGTCTCCACTGATACCTCAGTGCAACACCAACCTTTTTTCCTCTCTTCATTTCTGTGGTTTACCTCATATTTCATATACTAATCTGCTGACACGTTCACTCCCAGGGAGGTACTACCGTCCTGCCAAGTGAGTGTAAAACGAAAGCCTGTAATTGTTTTACATGATGGTAGGATTGCTGGTGTCTTTTGTCTGTCTCATAAATATGCAAGATTACAGGCAAGTCTTGCTACTTCTACTTACACTTAGGTCACACTACACATACATGTACATGTTTATTTATACACACTGATCTGAGTTTTCTTTGATTTTATCTTAATAGTTCTTGGTCTTATTACTTTTCCTTTTATATCCATGGGGAAGTGGAATAAGAATCTTTCCTCCGTAAGCCATGCATGTTGTAAAAGTCAACTAAAATCCCGGGAACAGTGGGCTAGTAACCCCTTTTCCTGTAATAATTACTAAAACGAATAAGAAGAAGAAAATTGTCAAAGTGGGAAGTCTCAATGTGCATGGATGTTGTGCAAATGATAAGAAAGAGATGTTTGTGGATGTTATGAATGAGAAGAAGCTGGATGTCCTGGCTTTAAGTGAAACAAAGCTGAAGGGGGTGGGAGAGTTTCAGTGGAGAGGAATAAATGGGATTAAGTCAGGGGTTTCAAATAGAGTTAGAGCTAAAGAAGGAGTAGCAATAATGTTGAAGGATAAGCTTTAGCAGGAAAAAAGGGACCATAAATATATTAATTCAAGGATTTTGTGGAGTAAAATAAAGGTTGGATGTGAAAAGTGGGTTATAGTAAGCGTGTATACACGTGGAGAAGAGAGAAGTGTAGAGGAGAGAGAGAGAGATTTTGGGAAATGTTGAGTGAATGCGTGGGGAGTTTTGAACCAAGTGTGAGAGTAATGGTGGTTGGGGATTTCAATGCTAAAGTGGGCAAAAATGTTGTGGAGGGAGTAGTTGGTAAATTTGGGATGCCAGGGGTAAATGAAAATGGGGTGCCTTTAATTGAGCTATGTGTAGAAAGAGGTTTAGTAATAAGTAATACATATTTTATGAAGAAGAGGATAAATAAATATACAAGGTATAATATAGCACGTAATGAAAGTAGTTTGTTAGATTATGTATTGGTGGATAAAAGGTTGATGGGTAGGCTCCAGGATGTACACGTTTATAGAGGGGCAACTGATATATCGGATCATTATTTAGTTGTAGCTACAGTGAGAGTAAGAGGTAGATAGGAAAAGAGGAAAATGACAACAACATTGAAGCATGTATGTGAACAGTATTTAGATAAAAGTAGGGAAGTTTTTATTGCATTTATGGATTTAGAAAAGGCATATGATAGAATGGATAGGAGAGCAATGTGGCAGATGTTGCAAGTATATGGAATAGGTGGTAAGTTATTAAATGCTGTAAAGAGTTTTTATGAGGATAGTGAGGCTCAGGTTAGGGTGTGTAGAAGAGAGGGAGACTACTTCCTGGTAAAAGTAGGTCTTAGACAGGGATGTGTAATGTCACGTGACCATGGCTGTTTAATATATTTATAGATGGGGTTGTAAAAGAAGTAAATGCTAGGGTGTTCGGGAGAGGGGTGGGATTAAATTATGGGGAATCAAATACAAAATGGGAATTGATGCAGTTGCTTTTTGCTGATGATACTGTGCTTATGGGAGATTCTAAAGAAACACAAATAACCCGCACATAAAAGACAGAAGCTTACGACGACGTTTCGGTCCGACTTGGACCATTGACAAAGTCACACTAACAGAGGTGGAGCAGGACGGCTATATATAGGCAGGAAGAGGTGGAGGTAGTAGTAGTGGTAGTAGTAGTAGTGGTACAAGAATTGTATATAATACCGACAGGATGAAATGACACATGCACAACACCCGGGCATCCCCACCGTAGACGTTTCGCCATCCAGCCAGCCACTGGATGGCGAAACGTCCACAACAAAGACAACCAGACGCCGCACATGTGTCTAATTTCATCAGTAGATGTAGTAGAAGAAGAAGAGGTAGTAGTAGTGGTAGTGGTAGAAGTGGGAAATAAGGAAGACGAGCCAGTCAAATACAAAGGAAGGGGAGCACTGTAAGAGAGCTAGAAACCCACAGAGGGAGAGCAAGCGCACCGAGGTGCGTGAAAGGGGAAGTGGTGGTGTCCTGCTCCACCTCTGTTAGTGTGACTTTGTCAATGGTCCAAGTCGGACCGAAACGTCGTCGTAAGCTTCTGTCTTTTATGTGCGGGTTATTTGTGTATCGTTCCAGTCACGGTATTGTGCCTTTTTGTTATTTATTCTAAAGAAAAATTGCAAAGGTTAGTGGATGAGTTTGGGAGTGTGTGTAAAGGTAGAAAGTTGAAAGTGAACATAGAAAAGACTAAGGTGATGAGGGTATCAAATGATTGAGATAAAGAAAAATTGGATATCAAATTGGGGAGGAGGAGTATGGAAGAAGTGAATGTTTTCAGATACTTGGGAGTTGACGTGTCGGTGGATGGATTTATGAAGGATGAGGTTAATCATAGAATTGATGAGGGAAAAAAGGCGAGTGGTGCGTTGAGGTATATGTGGAGACCAAAAACGTTATCTATGGAGGCAAAGGGAATGTATGAAAGTATAGTAGTACCAACACTCTTATATGGGTGTGAAGCTTGGGTTGTGAATGCAGCAGCGAGGAGGCGGTTGGAGGCAGTGGAGATGTCCTGTCTAAGGGCAATGTGTGATGTAAATATTATGCAGAAAATTCGGAGTGTGGAAATTAGGTGTGGAGTTAATAAAAGTATTAGTCAGAGGACTGAAGAGGGGCTGTTGAGGTGGTTTGGTCATTTAGAGAGAATGGATCAAAGTAGAATGACATGGACAGCGTATAAATCTGTAGGGGAAGGAAGGCGGGGTAGGGGTCATCCTCAAAAAGGTTGGAAAGAAGGGGTAAAGGAGGTTTTGTGGGCAAGGGGCTTGGACTTCCAGCAAGCATGCGTGAGCGTGTTCGATAGGAGTGAATAGAGACGAATGGTATTTGGGACCTGACGAGCTGTTGGAGTGTGAGCAGGGTAATATTTATGAAGGGATTCAGGGAAACCAGTTATTTTTATATAGCCGACTTGAGTCTTGGAAATGGGAAGTACAATGCCTGCACTCTAAAGGAGGGGTTTGGGATATTGGCAGTTTGGAGGGATATGCTGTGTATTTTTATACGTACGTATATACTTCTAAACTGTTGTATTCTGAGCACCTCTGCAAAAACAGTGATTATGTGTGAGTGAGGTGAAAGCGTTGAATGATGATGAAAGTATTTTCTTTTTGGGGATTTTCTTTGTTTTTGGGTCACCCTGCCTCGGTGGGAGACGGCTGACTTGTTAAAAAAATATATATATAAATATGTCTTCTTTCTTTCAACACACCGGCCGTATCCCACCAAGGCGGGGTGGCCCAAAAGGAAAAACGAAAGTTTCTCCTTTTACATTTAGTAATACAGTATATACAGGAGAAGAGGTTACTAGCCCCTTGCTCCCGGCATTTTAGTCGCCTCTTACAACACGCATGGCTTACGGAGGAAGAATTCTGTTCCACTTCCCCATGGAGATAAGAGGAAATAAACAAGAATAAGAACTAGAAAGAAAATAGAAGAAAACCCAGAGGAGTGTGTATATATATGCTTGTACATGTATGTGTAGTGTGACCTAAGTGTAAGAAGAAGTAGCAAGACATACCTGAAATCTTGCATGTTAATGAGACAGAAAAAAGGACACCAGCAATCCTACCATCGTGTAAAACAATTACAGGCTTTCGTTTTACACTCACTTGGCAGGACGGTAGTACCTCCCTGGGCGGTTGCTGTCTACCAACCTACTACCTAGGATATATATATATATATATATATTTATTTATTTCTTAGGTAGTAGGTTGGTAGACAGCAACTGCCCAGGGAGGTACTACCATCCTGCCAAGTGAGTGTAAAATGGAAACCTGTAATTGTTTTACATGATGGTAGGATTGCTGGTGTCTTTTTCTGTCTCATAAACATGTAAGGTTTCAGGTACGTCTTGCTACTTCTACTTACACTTGGGTCACACTACACATAATGTACAAGCAAAAAATTTATACACCCCCTCTGGGTTTTCTTCTTTTTTTAAATACTAATTCTTGTTCTTGTTTATTTCCTTTTCTCCATGGGAAAGTGGAAAAAAAAAGTCTTCCCCCAAAACCCATGCGTTTTGTAAGAGGGACAAAAATGCCGGGAGAAAGGGGGCCCTAGTAATCCCTTCTCCTGTTAATAAATTCCCAAATTTTTAAAAAGAAAAAACTTTCTTTTTTCCCTTTTGGGGCCCAAACCCTCCCGTCAGTGGGAAACGGCGGGTTTTGTTAAAAAGGAAGAAAGTTTATTTATTTATTTATTTATTTTTTTATTTGTTGTTTTATTATTTATTGTCATACATTTGGATGTGCAGAAACAAGATCGAATTTAAAAAAAAATTACAGTATTTGTATCATTCTAAATTTTTTCCTCCCAGGATGTAAAAAAAAATATTTAAAAAATTAAATTTAAAAAATTTAACGCAGATTTTTGGTTGTGTTTTTAACTGGGAGAGTCTGTACTTCTAAGGGGGCCCAAAGTTGGGCTGAGAAAGAGCTGTGTTACACTTGAGGGGGATCCCTGCACACTGAGTTTCCCTGTCCCATTTGTCCTTTTTTTTTCTTTCCTCTGCAGTTGTCTTGTAGTAAATTGGAATGCAACCCTAGTAATTTTTTCCCCTTTTTCCCCGTCCCTTCTTTTTGGGGGGCCCCAGACAAGATGTAAACCACCCTTCTGTTTGGGACTCCCACTTACTAACCTTTTTTTCCCCAAGTACTGAAATTAATGGGAAAGGGGAGCAACATTTTTGTTGGGGTTTTTAATTCACAAATTTGGTGGGAATACATAGAACGTAGATATTTTGAAACTAATTATCTTTTTTGTTGCTTAAATTAGTGTAAATTTTACTTTTTCCCCCCTTGGTTTTTTATTATTGTGAATAATCGTAATGAATTAAGTAGGAAATTGAAAAAATGATTGCCTTTTTCCCCAAACATATTAGATAACTATTTTTGCTATTTAAAGATATCATAAGAAGTCAGCAGAATTTTTGACATCTTGTTTTTCAGTTGTGCTACCAATTATTTCAATACACTTTTTGGAGTGAATTAGATGATTGAGAAGATGGTTTTTTAATAAATAATTTTTTTAAATATTTTATGTTTTTTTTGACTATATATTCATTAATTTTGAAAAAAAAAATCAAATTTTTTTAGAGGGTATTTTTATGGTTTCAAGTATTGTTTTTTCATGTATATATTAAAAAAGTGACAGTTTTTTAATTTAGTAGCCAGCAGTAACCTGCCCATCAAGGACAAGTCTTGGTAAACAAAAGCTTATGAAAGCGTCATGCAGCAATTCATAAACCTTTCACTAACTTTCCATCCTTTTTTTCCAATGCTTTGCCCCTTAGTATTGTCCCCTTTTTTTAAAATGGGGACAGTCATGGCATTTCCCCATTTTCCTGTCACAAAATTTTCCCCTATGGCTGTGTTGGATGTCAGCTTTATGTACTTAACCTCCCACAGTTCTAATTGGTTTCCCCTTGCTATCCCCACAAGAAGAGACCCGTGAGAAGTCTGCAAGAGGCCACATACCGAAGCAGAGGGGTGAGTTTACAACCCCTCTAAGTCTTTCCGGGAAAAAAACTGCTTTTTCAAAGATATTTTCAAAGAAAAGACATTTATTAGGATTAACATCAGATTTTAAAAATTTTGGGTTATAAATCTGGGAAAAATTTTTCAAATTAAATATAAGATTGATAGTTTATAAGAATATTCAAAGTGTGCCTTTTAAAATATTCATATCTTTTAACAAGAATAAATTCCGAAATCTGGCATTTTATGGACAGTAAAACTTTTGCATATGGTAACAAAGTACATCTCTATAGAATATGTTCCGTACTGTAAAATAATTTGCTGAAAGTGATGAAATTTTATTTGTGTCAATTAAAATTTTTTTTGTCTGTTTTAATGAAAAAAAAATGAAAACAGTAAATTAAAACCCTTAAACTGTCCAAAGTAGTCTGCTTCATGTGCGTAGGCTTGAAAAGTAATCGTTTTTTTTTTTTCTTAAATGCTTTTTAAATGGAAAGGGAAAATAAAATCGAGCGCTACGCAGGAAATAGATCTACGTTTGGGGCAGTTTTAAAAGGTTAAAAGAAAAAACTTTATTTTAATTTTTTTTAAGTTTAAAAAAAATACCCCTACTTCTGTTGTAGACCGTTTTTGAAAAAAAAATTATTAACAATGTCATTGTGCAATAAAATTTTTTAAAGATAATATTATGGAGGAATAGAGGATATTGACACTGCACAAACTTGGGGGTGGAAAATCAGTGGAACCTCAAATTTTGAACTATGCTTATCAAGTCTTCGAAAATCGACCGCTTTTTTTCAAAACCAAATTTTTCCCATTATCGAACCACCCCATTTTCGAACCGCTGGGTACGGCCGTCTGCCCGCCCACTCTGGCAGCCCCCGGAGGTCCTTGAGCCAGTTGGCTTTGTTGATGTTGGTGACATAACCTGCGGCCTCATTTTAAACATTTTACGATTATTTTTGTGTTTAGTGCTTGTGGGATGGGAAATGCTACCATGGGCCCCAAAAAAATTGCTAGTGGTGGTCCTGTGGTAAAGAAAGTGAGAAACACCATAGATGTGAAGAAGGAAATAATACAGAAGTATGAGAATGGTGTGAAATTTGTTGAGCTTGCCAGGATGTATGGGAAAAACAAGTCGACCATCGCTTCTATCCTGGCAAAGAAAGAACAAATCCAGGAAGCTGATGTTGCGAAAGGTGTTAATATACTAACCAAAAAAGGCCACAGACAATCTATCAGGTTGAGAAGTTGTTGCTGGTGTGGATCAAGGATAAAGAGATGGCAGGTGATAGTGTTTCAGAGACGATTATTTGTGAAAAGGCAAGGAAGTTGAAGGGGATTTCCCTTCCAAACACTAACCCCAGCTCCCTCTCTCTTCTTCCCTGTCTTCCAGATGCCATCACCAATCTTCAATACAGGTAAGTAAAAATGTTATTTTATATGTTTATTTAAATTTATTAATACATAATTGTACACTATATTTGTTGTGTGTATGTAAAACTATAATTAATCTCTATAAAATGTATTTTTTTTTTTTTTGTGAATATTTTTGGGTTTCTGGAACAGATTAATTGTATTTCCATTATTTCTTATGGGAAATATTGCTTCGCTTTTCAAACTTTTCGAATTTAGAACTAGCTCCTTGAACGAATTAAGTTCGGAATTTGAGGTTCCATTGTACAGGGCCTGCATTCTGAAGCAGGGGTGGGGATATTGAATGTTGGAGAGTGGAGTCTGAAATGTGATGTCAGCACCTTTCTGGCAAGAGGGTGATTGAATGAATAAAAGTGTTTTTTCTTTATTGGGTCACCCTACCTCAGTGGGAGATGAGCAGAATGTTAAAATAAATAATAAATGAATAAGTAAATAAAAAAATAATTATTTTTTTTTTCAACAAACTGGCTGTATCCCACCGAGGCAGGGTGGCCCAAAAAGAAAAACAAAAGTTTCTCTCTTTAAATTTAGTAATCTATACAGGAGAAGGGGTTACTAGTCCCTTGCTCCTGGCATTTTAGTTGCCTCTTACAACACACATGGCTTGCAGAGGAAGAATGCTGTTCCACTTCCCCATGGAGATAATAGGAAATAAACAAGAACAAGAGCTAGAAAGAAAATAGCAGAAAACCCAGAGGGGTGTGTATATATATGCTTGTACATGTATGTGTAGTGTGACCTAAGGGTAAGAAGAAGTAGCAAGACATACCTGAAATCTTGCATTTTTATAAGACAGAAAAAAGGACACCAACAATCCTACCATCATGCAAAACAATTACAGGCTTTCGTTTTACACTCACCTGGCAGGATGGTAGTACCTCCCTGGGCAGTTGCTGTCTACCAACCTACTACCTATGATATATACATTTTTTAAAGAATAACTTCAGGTTTACATACACACAACACAGATAAATACATATAGTACTTAAATTATAATACAATACATAAATTAACATTTAAATAAACATTTAAAATAACATTTACTTACCTTTATTGAAGACTGTTGCTGGCATCTGGAAGATAGGGAGGAGGAGTAAGGGAGCACTTATTGTTTGGAAGGGGAATCCCCTTCCATAAAGACTTTAGGTAACAAGTCTTATCTGGGGTTACTTCCCTCTTTGTCTTTTAATGCCACTAGGACCACCTTAAGAGTCACTGGACCCCTGTTGCACAAAATAACTGTCCAGAGTCCTCTGTTTCTGGTGCCTCTTTAACCCTTAAACTGTCTAAATGTAGATCTACGTTGACGTGCATAGTGCTCTGAACATAGATCTACGTCCGATTTTACATGCTTTTGAATGGAGAAAATCAAGGTCGGAGCACTACGCACATCAACGTAGATCTACGTTTGGACAGTTTAAGGGTTAACATTTCCCTAAAATGGTTCTGTCACTGAACTTGTTGCAGAGATGGCTTGTTGCAACTTGCTCAGGGTGGTATATTTTCCACAAAACTTTGCAACGTATTCCACATTCCACACATGTCACTAATCACTGAAGAAGGCACCTCCTTCACTCCCTCCTCCTCCTTCTCCTCTTCCTCCTCCTACTCCTCCTCTGAAGCAAGTTCCTCAACTGTGGTTTGATGCTTTTCCAGATGAAGCTCTTGCAGCTCTTCGGTGCTTAGCTCTTCTCTGTGGTCCCCCTCCAACTCTTCCACATCCTTGCCACTCACCTCCAACCCCATGGACCTTCCCAATGCCACAATACCTTCCACAACAGGCAGAGGGTCGGCATACCACTCTCGTATTTTTCTACTATTTCTTTCTTCACTTCTATGGTGTTTCTCACTTTCTTTACCAAAGGGGTGCCACTAGGAAGTTTCTTTGGGCCATGGTGACTTATTTCACAGTTGCACTCAATAAACAAGCACCAAACACAATGAATTAATTGTGAAATGTTTGGATGAGCACGCAGAGTAATGTTAACTCAAAGATAAACAAGCAGCCAGACTGACTCACGACGCCTGTGTGGGGAGGTGCGCAGGTGCAGGCAGGTGGACAGTTCTGGTACACGGAACGAACATGGGCACAGTGTGAAACTCTGGACAAAATTTAGCTGAAAAAATGGTTCTAAACTTGAAGCGTACGATACTCAAGGTGGATGAAATACGAGGTTCCACTGTACATATTAGCACCAATCACAGATGAGTATGTAAGTTAAACTCCATGTGGGATAGAAAATAAATGTAATAATGTTGCACTACAAATTTGAGAAAGCTTGTGCAGAGAAAGTCAGCATTATTATTAGTCACTAAAATTCACTAAATCTGTGTCAGTTATTTACTGCTGCTATGTTGCAAATAAAAAAATTTTCTATCTTGTTTAGGGATATTTTGTCTTCATTTAAAGGTTATGTTATATTTTGCTGTAGAGCTTTTCCTGAACTCTAGTTTTTTAGTTATGTAGAACATTAGGCATTAATGTAATTAGATTCATGATAAATATTTTTGCATTATTAGATTGTATTACCCTATGTTTAGTTTAACAAGGAAAATATTTTCCTTTTCTTTCCTTTTGTTTTGTACTTTACAGTGTTTCAGCTCTTGTAACCTACAGTTAATAAAAACTATACATCTTAGTTTTATTTTTATTTTTTCCTTAGTTATTTTGTTGCATTTTCGTATAGAGAATATTCCTTATAAAATTATTACTTATATTGTGATCCCAGATCGTACGATATATTGAGTCATACAGTATTTTGTGTATTTGTCAGTTCTCCAGAGGCTCCACGATCACGTACGAAGCAGCAGCAACACGGTTCGGATGTTGAATCCTTACCAGAAAAACGACCTGCACAACATCCAGATGCTCCATCCTCAAATCAGACATATAAAAGTAGCCCGAAGGAAAGTATCAAGGGGAGAGAGATCCATAAAGAAAGAGACTGTGACAAACAAAAGGAACATCAGTATGATACATCCATATTACAAGACAGAGAACAAAATCAAGAAAGAAATAAGCAGAAGAGCAGAAGCAGAAGCAGAAACAGAAGTGGTGAGCAGAAGCATGGGTCTCCTTGGAGAATATCAACACCAGGATCAGGAGGAAGTCGTGAGTACGAAAATACTGGAAACGTTAACAAGTTGGAGATCACGGGTAACGTGAGGCATGTCATTGCTGACACAAGCTACTTGCCTTTGCCATGTCAACCACCAAGAAATGCAGCAGTGACAGATTCATCTAAGCAGAGCTCACTCTCATGCTCTACCAGCAAGTCTCCAGTCAGGGTTTCTCCAAAGCAAGAAATGATTGATTGTGTTAGGCTGAACCTTACAAATTGTCGATCAATTCCTTTACCTAAAGTAGGTAGTCCAAGTAAAACCATAGGAGATAAACACAGCTCAAAATGGAGTCAAAATCAATCTATATCATCTAAGATATTAGACATCAGTGATACCTTGAAAAGGTCAAGCGAGCTATCCAATGTACAGGGTAGTGGAACTCAAGACTTGCCACGCCTACCACAAAATGGTCGCCATATTGGAGGATCTTTAGCAAGCAAATCACCAGTACCACATTCCAGGTAAGCAAAGGATTTTAATTTTTATTGCAAACAAGTTAAAACGTGATATTTATGCAATTTTATCTCGTATGTACATAAAATATTACTACATACTTTCATCTCGCACCCATTATTCTATCTATGCTTATAACTTTTATATTTCCAAAATGAGCAGTTCCCAGAGGTAGATATGTCTTTGATGCCTTATTTCTTCTTAAAGCTTTTCATTCTTGAAAGTGTAGCATTGTGTACAATCTCTTATGGGCAGGGTAGCCATAAACCCAGTATCCCAAAATAATTTGAATCTTAAACCATACCCCCGGCCGGGATTGAACCCGCGGTCATAGAGTCTATGACCGCGGGTTCAATCCCGGCCGGGGGTATGGTTTATTTGCAATCGTGTCATTACGATTTCTTAAGTCAATTTGAATCTTCTTAAAATTTTATTAAAATAAGGTCCTACTACATACATGACATAGCAGTCGTTTGAGAGATTACATGAAATGTGAGACCAAAATAATTTAAATAGAACCTTCTTTGCTATTTAAAAATAATTATTCTCCTCTGTCCCCTTTCTTCCCTTCCTTTCCCTAAAACTTTCTGATGACACCTGTTAAAGATTTCTACATATATTACTGGTTGGTACTGAAGTGGAAAAAATGATCATTGCTGTATAATGCAGAAAGTAGAAGGAAAGAAATGAGTAGCCATAGAAAAATAGGAAAACAGTAGTTAATGAAAGGCCATTATGTAGGAAAAGATATAGCAGACCATTAAGGACTGCTGCAGTGTGCATATTGGATTAGTATTTATAAACAGGCTCTAAACACATTACAAGTTATACAGTACAGTGGTGGATTGGATTGTTAGGGTAGAGATGATTGAAGGTGAGGGTGTAAAATGGAGGTTATGTTTGGTGCAAAAGGTCAGTTTTTCTTAAAAAAATCATAGAGGAGTCTGCATTAACCCTTTCACTGACTTTTGTAGAACTACAATAAATGTCTAATAAAATGGATTATTAGGGAAAATGTGTATCTGCTTTAACAAAAAAATCCATTGTATGGAATGTTATGATTAACCCATTCACTGTCCAGACCCCAAAAATTAACCCTTTGAGGGTCGGTCACGTACAAGTACGTCATTGCAGCCAGGGTTGGTCACGTACTTGTACACCTAAATGCTAGCGCCTTCAAATCTGGTGGAAGAAAGCTGGCAGGCCTACATGTGAAAGAATGGGTCTGTGTGGTCAGTGTGCACAGTATAAAAAAAATCCTGAAGCATGCTGTGTATAATGAGAAAAAAAAAACTCCAACCGTGTTTTTGGTTTAAAACAGCGAATTTCTAGTGTATTTCCATGTGGTATTTATGGCTGTATTCCCGTTTCCTTGGATTCATTTGATAGAATGGAAGATATATTACAGAAATAGAGATGATTTTGATTGGATTCACGATGACAAGTACCTTGAAATTGAGCTCAAAGTAGCAAAAATGATCGATTTTTGCTGATGTTCATTAGTAAACACATCAAGCCACGCATCCAATACACATCAACTGGTGAGTCTAATATTCTTTCACAAGTGCACTGACACCATTTATACCGTTTTTACAATGATACAGTAATATACATAACAGAAAACTTTTTATTTTCTGTGAGAATAAAAATTCAAAATGCAAAGCAAAAGTAATGTAAGAGGGGCCTTGAGACGTGACTAATTGAACAGATAAAATGTTATTTTAGTGCCATGAATGTCTGTCTTGTTTATTCTGGATCCTATTTCGAAATTGGCATCTTTTGAAATTTGTGTGAAATTGCCCAAATTGCCAATTTCTGACCACTTTATTGGGTAGTTGAAATCAGTAAATAGGCGGATTCTTGTACTCAGTCGATAGAATAAATGGAGTTCTAGGGAAATAGCTATGATTTTAGCCAACTGCAACATTGTAATTGACCGAAAATAGGGCTCAAAGTGGGCGTAATTGCCGATGTGTAAATATCTTGGAGACCGCTAATTTTGCGAGAGCATAATTCTGTAAGTTTTCCATCAAATTTAATGCTTTTGGTGTCATTATGATCAGAAAAAGATTCTCTATCATTTCACAAGAATTTTTTTTTTTTTTTTTTTTAATTTTTATAACCCTGAGAATGAGTTTGGGAGAGGGCCTTTCGACCCTCAAAGGGTTAGTATTATTCTTCAGTGTCCACTTTTTTTTAAAATATATATTTTTTCTTCTGAAATAGTAGAGAATCTTTTTCTGAAGGTATTGACACGAAAAGTATGAAATTTGATGGAAAACGCATGGCACAATGTATCCATTGGTGATTTTACCCAATTTTAGTCCTGTTTTAAGCCACTACCAATGTTCCATTCAACCAAATTGTTAGCTATTTTGCTAGTATGCCTTCCGTTCTATCAACTGAGCATGAGAAACCACCCATTCAACTATTTCAACTACCCTGTAAAGTGCACAGAAGCAGGTAATTTGGCCAATTTTACACAAAATTAAAAAATGTCAGTTTAAAAATAGAGTCCATAATAAACAATGTAGACATTCCTGGCACTAAAACAGCATTTCCTCAGTTCATTGGTGATGTTCCCAGGTCTCTCTTATATTATACTGTCCTTCCATTTTGAATTCTTATTCACACAAAAAAATAGAAGGTTTACTCTATTTCTTGGATAATAAAATATAACCAGGAATGATTGGTAATGGGTCATGGTTCACAGTATCCCAATAATTTAATGAGACCTATAAAAACTTATAAAATAAACTGGGGGTTATAAGAGGCCTTACCTGTCCTCTGGAATATTGCCAAAAAATTAATATTTCTGCTGATTTGAGCTCAATTTACAGCTACTTTCAATCCTGAAACCAATCAAAATCTTCTCTGTTTCAGTAGTATAGTTTCCTTCTATCAAATAATAACAAAAAATAAACAATAAAACCATAAAAACCATCCCAAAAAATACCACCTTTGCTATTTTAACCCATACACATGGTCACGTGTTTTTTCCATCTTGTACCACGTAGGGCAGGATTTTTTTTTTTATACTGTGCACATTCACTGCACATTATTATTATTATAATCAAGGGGGAGTCCTAAACCCATAGGATTATGCAGTGCCTGTGGGGGGGGGGGGGATTGTGGAAGGTATTCAGGCTTAATTCAGGGAACTGGAGCACAGATCCAATTCCCTATATCAAGAGCCCCTCACCAACATCAAGGAACCTTCCTTGAGGGGCCATTCACTGCATAGACCCATTCTCTCATATCTAGGCCAAAATTTACCACTCACAACTTATCTGAGCTGAGCTGAACTCATGATGTAGAGCTACACGAGGGACCCCTGGCCTCCATGACATACTTCTGCGTGATGGCCACTGAATGGGTTAATAATGATTTACTATACACTATAAAGAAGAATCTTTATGGTGTATAGTAAGTTTAGATTTTCTTGTTTCTTAATTTTGAACATTACTAAATGTTATATACTGTAACATTGTAGTGTTTCTTAATAATATAAACTGTTGAACAAATGTGTCTGAGAGTAAATTGTTAACTTGCACTAATATTAGTTATTTTATTTGGTTTCTTTAAATATTTTTCAGTCAAGTCTAATTTGTAGAGTCTGAAAATATTTTTGATCTTGTAACTTTAGTGTTATCTGTAGAATTAAAGGTCATTGATAACTTCATTTACAGTGGTGTGACTGCAGCATCCCCAGCACACACTAGATATTCCAGAAGTTCAAGTAGAGGTAGATCTTCATCCCGTAGCAGTCGCAGCTCGCGCTCGCGCTCCTCGTCACGTTCGCACTCGCTTTCACCAAGATCCCACTCACCTTCACTACGCTCACACACTCCCACTTCTCGATCCAGGTCTCCCAGGTATATCTATGATAAGAGGTAGTTTATGCCTTGTTTGAAATTGATTCATCAGTAATGTGCCTGTATGTACCATATTTCGCGGCTTATAAGACTTATTTTAGTTTCAGTGGCTCGGCATTGGACGTAGCTGGGAGAGCTACAGCTCATCCCACACCCCAAACTTATAGCTCTCATCACTGACCTTCAGTTTATAGGACGCAGGGTGATTTTTGGGGGAGATTTTATGAAAAAAATTTGTCTAATATGCCGTGAAATATGGTATATACATTTTTTCATTACAGTGCTCTTAGGAGTGCATTATTGCATATTCAGAGAAAGCACTCAACTCTTATTAGTCATACAGAACTTCATGTCAGAGGAAGGAAGGGGTGTAGAGGTGTTGAGGAAAGAATTTCGGCTGAAAGGATGGAGCAAACTGGTCTCACTTAGGAAATCAGAGTATGTGTCTGCAGTGAAAGTGGGACCATCACGAATAAGTCATAATATTTAACTGCATTGTGTTATCCATGGTTAACCCTTTGACTGTCACAACCCCAAATCCTGAAGTGTCTCCTGGTGTCGAAAAGTTTTTTGGAAAAAAAAAAATTCTAATGAAATGATAGAGAATCTTTTCCCGATGTTAATAACACCAAAAGTACAAAATTTGATCGAAAACTTACTGAATTACGCTCCCGCAAAGTTAGCGATCTTGGCGATATACAGTGGTCCCTCAATTATCGTCCTTAATCCGTTCCTGGAAGTGGGACTATTATCGAAATAGACGATTTTCGAATCAATTTTCCCCATAAGAAATAACGTAAATCCAATTACAGTGGAACCCCGGTTAACGATATTTTTTCACTCCAGAAGTATGTTCAGGTGCCAGCACTGACCGAATTTGTTCCCATAAGGAATATTGTGAAGTAGATTAGTCCATTTCAGACCCCCAAACATACACGTACAAACGCACTTACATAAATACACTTACATAATTGGTCGCATTCGGAGGTGATCGTTATGCGGGGGTCCACTGTAATTCGTTCCTGACACCCAGAAATATTAAAACAAAAAAAATTTTTTTACATGAAATATAGATATGGTACATAAACAGTACAATGGGATATGATGAATGAAACATTAACAGCATAACACTTACCTTTATTGGCGATTTTTCTTAGTGTATGGAAGACTGGGGGAGGAGAGACATTGAATTACTGTTTGGAAGGGGAATCCCCTTCCATCAACACCTCAGCTACCAAGTGCTTTTCTGGGGTTACTTCTCTTCTCTGTTTCTTAATGCCACTAGGACCAGCTTGAGAGTCACTGGAGTCCTGTCTCGCAAAAAACTGTCCAGAGAGCTCTGTTTCTGGCGTCTCTTTAACCCTTTCAGGGTCCGTCCCGTAGATCTACGGCTTTACGTTCAGGGTCCAAACCGTAGATCTACGCCATGAGCTCAGCTCACTCTGATAAACTGTGAGTGGTACATTTGGGCCTAGATATGAGAGAATACATCTATGTGGTATGTGTGCACCACATAAAACAGATCCTGCAGCACACTGTGTATAATGAGAGAAAAAAAATGAAATCATGATTTTTCGATTAAAACAGCAACTTTGCAGTGTTTTTTCGTATGTTTTTTATAGTTGTATTTGCGATTTCTTGGTCTCATTTGATAGAATGGAAGACATATTACAGAAATAGAGATGATTTGATTGGTTTTAGCCTGGAAATGGCTTGAAACTGAGCTAAAAGTAGCAGAATGTTAAATTTTTGCCGATATTCAAGAGTAAACAAATGACCTTTACGAATCAATTACCCAAGAAATAGGTAAATCAATTACAGAATCCCTGGTGATGATATTTATACAATTATAAGTATGTCAGTGCCAGCACTGACCTATTTTTTGGTTCCCATAAGGAATATTGTGAATAAAAATTAAAATGTTTATTTAAAGCCCCAAACATACCAACTACAAAATGTATTACATAAATGCACTACAATGTTTCCATTCGGAGTGCAATTCGTTAATTCGGATTTGCACTGTGTTGTTCCTACATCCAGAAATATTTACGACAATAATTTTTTACACAGTTGACTTGGATTTGGTCAAACGATAGAAGGGGAAGTAATACTAGTGAAACATAAAGCTAACAATTCGTTGATTGGAAATGTTTCTTATATAAATGGGAGAAGGAACCCCATTGAAATTACGTGTTTGCGAGAGGCAATCTTCCGTCAATACCCCAACCAATTTGCTTTTTTGGGTTTATCCTTCACTTCTCTAGTTTCTTAAATCAACTAGACCATTTTGAGAGTTCTGGACACGGGTGCTCGCACTCCAGAGGGCCTTGGCCCTAATTAAAACTTCCCTTAAAATGGGCCAAGACTCTGTCACTGTACATGTTGCCAACATGGCTTGCAACATCCTTCTCAGGGTGATGTTTCTCCATAAATCTTTCCATCTTACCCCACATTTCAAAAATCTCCTTAATTTCTGAAGAAGGCACCTTCTTCCATCTCTCTTCCTCCGCCTCTGCAGCAAGATTCTGAGCTGCGATCTGTTGCTCCTCCTGCTGAAGCTCTTGCAGCTCCTCAGTGGTAAGCTCTTTGTTGTGGTCCTCCACCAACTCTTCCACATCCTCCAAACTCACATCCAACCCCATGGAACTACCCAGTGACACAATAGAGTTCATAACTGACATAGGCTCATCAGGGGCCGCCTCAAACCCTTCAAAATCCCTCGTGGACACAATCTGTCCACAATTTTCTCCAAGCAGAGTTCAAAGTTCTGGTAGTTATTCCCTCCCAAGCCATACCTATAAGGGTTATACATCCTGGCCAGTTCACCCACACGTACGCCACTTTCATATTGTTCAGTGGTGTTTTTCTTAAATTCAATCGTATTTCTCACCTTCTTTACCAAAGGCTTGGCACTAGGAGCTTTCTTTGGAGCCATGGTAGCTTATTTAGCACTTGCAAGCACTAAAATGAATGGAATATTATGAAATATTTCGTATGAACACATGAGGGGACCGTCGCTCACTGGTAAACAATGGCACACTGGCTGGGAAGGGAGGCCGAGGCGGCTCAGAGCGTGAGTGCGCGTCCAGGACGAAGGACGATTAGCGAGTTTCGGACCATTTGCGAGCCAATGTTTTGACGAACTAATGGGACTATTTCCCATTTCAGGCCGGACGATTATTGAGGGACCACTGTATAAGCATTGGCGATTTCACCGACTTTGAGCCCTATTTTCGGCCAATTCCATTGTTCCAGTCGACAAAACTCATAACTATTTCTTTAGAACTCCATTTTGTCTATCAACTGAGTACAAGAAACCGGCCATTTACCAATTTCAACTACCCAATAAAGTGGTCAGAAATTGGCAATTTGGCCACTTTCACACAAATTAAAAAAGATGCCAGTTTCAAAATAGGGTCCTGAATAAACAATGCAGACATTCTTGGCACTAAAATAACATATCCTCTGTTCATTAGTCACATCTCCAGGCCCCTCTTATATTACTCTTGCTTTCAGTTTTTATTTTTTATTAATAAAAAAATAGAAGATTTACTGTTATGCAGACTACTGCATTATTGTAAAAATGGTATAAATATTATCAGTGCACTAGTGAAAGAATATTAAACTCCCCAGTTGACATGTTTTGGACGTGTGGTGTGATTTGCTTACTCTTGAAAATTGGTAAAAATCGAAAATTTCCGCTAATTTGAGCTCAATTTCAAGGTCGTTTTCATCGTGAAACTAATCAAAATCATCTCTGTTTCTGTAATATTTTTTTCATTCTATCAAATGAGACCAAGAAAACTAGAATACAACCATAAATACTATAGGAAAATACAGTGGACCCCCGGCATTCGATGGCATCGGTATACGTTAAATCCGGTATTCGATACATTTTAATGCAAAAATTTTGCCTCGCCACTCGTTAAAACACCCGCCACGCAATTCATCCGGGACGCGTCCATGTGAGTGCCAGTGTTTACAAGCCAGCCAATGTGCTCACATCTAAGTATACATTCGGTACATTCCATATTATCACAGTGTTTTTGGTGATTGTTTCTGCAAAATAAGTCACCATGGGCCCCAAGAAAGCTTCTAGTGCTAACCCTGTGGTAAAAAGGGTGAGAATTAGTATGGAAATTAAGAAAGATTTTGAAGGGTTTGGGGCTAACCCTGAGAAGCCTATGCCAGTTGTGGAATCCATTGTGCCTGCTTCAAAAATTAAGGAAATGTGTGCAAAGTGGGTTGAACTGCAAACCTTTATGGATGAAAATCACCCTAACACAGCTATTGCAAGCCATGCTGGTGACTATTACAATGACAATGTTATGGCCCATTTTAGACAAATTTTAAAGGAACGGCGACAGAGGTCTAGTGACTCTCAAGCTGGTCCTAGTGGCATTAAAAGAAGAAGGGAAGTAACCCCGGAAAAGGACTTGCTACCTCAAGTCCTAATGGAAGGGGATTCCCCTTCTAAACATTAACAACTTCGACACACTCCCCTCCTCCCATCACCAGATCTTCATTAAAGGTAAGTGTCATGTATTCAATTGTTAGTAGAGTACTACAAACTGCGCATGTCTTCTTCAGTTTGTGTGCATTAAACTTAATATTTCATGTGGTAAATTTTTTGTTTTCATACTTTTGGGTGTCTTGCACGGATTAATTTGATTTCCATTATTTCTTATGGGGAAAATTAATTCGCCTTCCGATAATTTTGGCATACGATGAGCTCTCAGGAATGAATTAATATCATATACCGGGGGTCCACTGTACACATCAAAGTCGACGTTTTAATCCAAAAACTTCATCGGAGTTTTTTTCTCTCATTATGCACTGTGTGCTGCAGATTTTTTTTATACAGTGCACACTGACCACACAGACCCATTCTCTCACATGTGGGCCTACCATCTTTCTCCTTTATTTGAAGCCGCTAGAATTATTGAGTACAGTGGACCCCCGCATACCAATTTTAATCCGTGCAAGAGGGGTAATTGTTA